GGAACACAAGCAGGGGGAGTGGGAGAGGGAGAAGCAGGCTTCCTGCAGAGCGGGAAGCCCGATGTGGGACTCGATCCCAGGACCCTGGGATCATGACCTGAGCCGAAGGCAGACGCTTAACGACTGAGCCACCCAGGCGCCCTTGAATTTGCTTTTTGCTACCAAGGTGCATTCACTATAGTTTCCTCTCTGCTTTTTGCATGTCATTCTGGGAGTATGGTTCTTTGTTTCCTGCCCTGTCTCGGGCCCCTTTCTTTCTGTGTGCAGGTCACTTCCCCTGCTGACTGATGCATGTTGGGCCGGGCCCCCTGGGTCCTGTGTCTTGCAGGGTGAAGTGCGAGGCCCTCAGTGTTGGTGCTCGTCTTCTTGCCTGAGGTTGGCCCCAGGCCTGCAGTTGTTTTACTTGGGGGCTGTGAAGAATCAGTTCTCTCACATCCTGCCCTTCATGATCCAATAAAAGACCTTTGATCCACCGTACTGTACCTCTGCCCAGCCCACTCTCACCCAGAAGTGAAGCAGAGGAAGCTGCTAGCCCCTCCCCCACTTCTCCTCCCCATCTACCAACTGCAAAGGTTTGAACTTGACTCCTGCCCACTGGCTTCCCTGCTCTTCCGGTTTAGATTTACCATTGCAATGAACAGCACTCAGGAATGTTGTCCTTGCTTTGGAAGTTCTGATTTTCACATAAATGCCCCCCCCCAGCCACTGGCCTTGTTTGCCTGATCTGGTGCCATCCTCAGGGTTAACCCACGTCCCTCCTGTCTAGGGGGATAGTGGGGAAGAGGGCTCTCTTTCCTCCACCTGTCACCTTCGTGGAGCTAACTGGCTCCTCCTTTCCTTGAAGGGCCAAGGAGGCAGATCAGCTGAAGCAGGACCTGCAGGAAGCCCGTGAGGCAGAGCGAAGAGCCAAGCAAAAGCTCCTGGAAATCACCACCAAGCCCACATACCCGGTGAGCCTGGCTGGGGGCTGCTGGCCTGCAGCTGCTTCAGACCTCATAGCCTTCCCTTCCCTCCCAGCCCTTCCGTTCCCTTGGTGGTGCCACGGCAGAGTGAGTGCTGCTTAGGGCCTGTGGCTGGGGACTGGATAGAACGCTGGTCTGCCATTTGGCCTCGGACAAGTCACTTCTCCGGTTGCCTAGATAATAGACAGCAGGGCCTTTCCCAGCTCTGAAATGTTTTTCTTATTCTAAGTAATAATAGTCCCAAATTATCCTCAAGAGAGGATAGCCTCTTGATGCCATGCTGAATGTAATCTTCAACTACCTGTGTATACCATATACCGTCATTATAGTTCTGGCAGGGGTACCCCGTGTCCCTCAGAGTGAACTATTGCCACAGAAGAACCAGCTTCCAAACTCAATTTTGGGACGAGGAGGCAGACTTCAATTACACAGGGTCACACAGTGAATAGAAAAGTCTCTTTCCTTCCCTTCCTCTGTGCATTCAGTTCAGCAAACCGTTCTGGTCCATGTAATACCAGGCAGATGCAGAGTCTGTATTCAGAGAGGGTGCACAGGGGCCTAGAGGAGAATGTAGCCCAGCCTGCAGGGGCAGGAGAGGCATAGGATGGCACCTGAGCTGGCTCTTAAAGGGTAAGTCGGAACTAGCTAGGTGGGAAAGAGACTGTGGGGTATTCTCAGCCAACCCACAGATGTGCGCCTGGCACAAACACACGCAGTGCGCACTCGTACAGCAGAGGCAGCTAAGAGGTGCACGGGGCACAGAGACAGAAGCAGCCCAGGGTTTGAGGTGGAGGGAAATGTGAGCAGTTTGCTATCGTCATCTGTGCCGGTCCTCGGTGACTGTGTGACAGGCTACCCCCAAGCCAGCCGTGTGGCTCAAAACAGCCATTCCTTCTCTCTCATGGCTCGGTGGGCTGAGTGGGCCGATGGTCCTGCCTCAGGATCTCTGCGGTGGTCGCAGAGCAGCCGGGACTGGAGTTGTCTGGGGGCTCATCTGGGTTGGGCACCGGAGATGTGTGTGGTTTTAAAACATACACTGGAGCGGGGTTCCTGGCTGGCTCAGTCGGTAGAGCATGCGACTCTTGATCTCGCGATTGCGGGTTCGAGTCACGTGTTGGGTGTAGCGATCACTCAAAAATAAAATCTTTAAAAATATAGAAATAAGTAAAATAAAACATAACACTGGAGCAAACTTTATATGCTCTTCAGACAGTAAATAAATAAATAAGTCCTGGAGGAGATCATCCGTATCAGCCTTTTAATCCTATTTCGTGGTATGGATGGATTGTAATTCATTTAAGCAGTCCCCTATGGATGGGTATTTAGTCTGTTTTCATCTGCAGTTGTGAACAAAACTGCGGAAAATATCCCTGAGCACAAATCTTCGCACATACGGTGAATATACTGGTAGAATAAATTCTCATAAACAGAGCCGTGGGGTCAGGTTTTCCATCGAGATGCTCTCCACAGAGGTCGTACCAGTGTCTGTTCTCACCCACAGCACGGCACTCAGCGCCCATCTTTTCAGAAATTTTGATGAGGTATAACATACGTACAGAGAAGTGCCCAGATTATAACTGTACAGCTTGATGAATTCTCACAAACTCAACACACCCATGCACCCAGCACCCAAATCAGAAAACAGAACGTTCCAGTACCCCAGAAGCCCCCTCACAGCGCCACCTTCTAACGCCCACGCAGACAGTCTGCCTCAGGCCTTGTCATCATGTCAGATGAATGCTCTGGGCCTCTCCCCTTTCCCAGACACCGTCCCAGACTCAGCCAAGGATCCAAGGGTGAGAGAGGCAGATCCTGCCCTTAGGAAACTTGCCAACAGGAAAAGAAGAAGGCACAGCCAGAAAGGAGTTTTTACAGGGTGGAGTTAGGGAAGTGCCGTAACAGAACCAGAAACACCATGTTAATGCATAGCAAAGAAAAGAGTTGCCATCTGGCCGAGAGGGATCTAGAAAGGCTTTGGTGAGAAATCCTAGTATTTGAGAAGGGCCTTGAAAGAGAGATGGCCTATAGGGAGAGGAATGGCTGAAGCAAAGGAACAGAAATGGTACTGTTCACAATTTGTTAGGGCAAACGGTAGGAGAAGCTAGACTAGATTGGGGCCATATTTTAGGTGACCCTTTGTTCTGGGATGAGAAAGTCCTCAAATCTAATCTCTTCATCTTCTGCTTCAAGCCCTGCTTTGGCTCCATCTTCTGAATCCAGACCCCTCAGCATGCAGGGGAGCTCTTTATGGTCTGGTCCCGGTCTCCCACCCCCCTCCCTCAGCTTTCTCGCTGAGCCTTCTCTGCCCTGCCCTGCCCAGTACCATGCCTCTTGCCTGGCAAGCCTTTTCCTCTGGCACATCCTCTGATGCCGGCAGAAGCAGCATCCCTTCTAGCATGCCTTTCCCAGCATCCTCGGCCACTGTTCACTCTCTGGCTACAGTGTCTACCTTACGTAGCCATGATGATCTGTGAGCACCTCTGTTTACTGAATAATACTTTCAGCTGTTCAGAGCTAGGGACTCTGCCTTGTTCTCTGCATCTCCAGCTCCTAGCCCAGAGCCGGAGGGCTTCCTCAACGAAGAAGTGAGTGGGAGTCTGTGTTTAATTTGGTGAGCATGAAGAGCTAATAAAGGTTTGAAGGGAGAGAAATGATTTACCTGGATTTGAGATCTTTGGGGTCGATCATCTGGCAGCAGCCAATGTAGGTAGATTGGAGGAGGAGAGAGAGGGCTGACAGCTGTTACGTGAGGCCATGGTGGTGCTGGGAGGGAGGCAGGGCCCGAGCTGTGCCTGCTGCCTCTATGGCTGCTGGAGGGTGGGTGGTTAACACAGTAGTGCCCCCGTTCTCACAGAACCTGGCCCCCCTAACTGGAGATTTCTCATTCATAGCCCATGAACCCAATTCCAGCACCGTTGCCTCCCGACATACCAAGCTTCAACCTCATTGGTGACAGCCTGTCTTTCGACTTCAAGGATACTGACATGAAGCGGCTTTCCATGGAGATAGAGAAAGAAAAGTACGTAGTCCCCCTGACCTTGTGCCCCCAGTTGGCGAGCTAGAGTGGGGCCATCTGGGCCTGGGGAAACTGGAGGGTCACCGCGGGAGCCTGTCACTAGCTCCTGCAGGGGTTGCTCTGTTCCCACCCTCCGGAGAAAGAATTTCCTCATCAGAAGTGAAGGACACGGGCAATCAGTCTTGCAGGATAACAATGATGCTTGATTGGTGACCTGGAGTTTACGGTGGCTCAAAACCTCATCTACAGTCTAGGACTGGTTGTCAGGGATCTCCGAGCAGTCAGACTGCGGTTCACGTGGGGATAGAGCCTGTGATAATGTCCAAACACAGTAACAGAACAGGTTTCCTGGTTGTGTTCTCTGGCGGTTGAGACCCGCAGCACTTCCCATGTCTAGAGCAAGGGTAAAGGGAGAGACTCGGGCTCAAGGCCGTGGAAAGCAAATGTCTGAGTCAGGCTAGCCCTGCTGCATGGGGCAGCCCTGAGCTGAGCCCCGCATGCCCTGTTCATAGCAGCTTCTGCTGTGCGCTCCTCCTTCCTTTCATGGTTGGTGGAACCGAGGTGGCAGGGAGTCTCACTGCAGGAGAAATCTGACTGCAGTCCCCCCAGTTCCCAGCCGTAGGTAAATTGGCCACTTGTGCCACGGCTTGATGGAGAACCATGTACTGAGTGCCTGGGTGGCAGGGCTTTCTAGCTTTGTCTCATTTCATTCCCACTAACTAACATCAGGCTGACATCAGAGGTGGGTTTTAGTGTGCCATTTATAAATGAAATCTACAGCGTTTGATGGACTCACCCAGCATCACACGGCTGATGAGGAGCAGAATGAGGATTCAGCTCCAAGCCCGTGTGAGGCCCTGTGCTCTCACCTTGTCCAATATCCTTGGGATAGCTCTCTTGGGACAGTGTCTCCTTGGGGTCCAGGGTGAGCAACCATGAGCCTCTTTATCTATGGTGTCTGCTGTCCGAGTTGCCCTTCCAGCCTTTCTCCATTGACCAGGCATGTGAGCATTTCATGGTTGTGACAGGGGTGAGGCTACATCCTGTTTCTGGGTCCTGCTTTTTTAGTTTGTGTTTTCCTATTACCTGTGCACATGACAGACCCCACATACCAGCAGCCATGGGCATCACTGCAGAATGTTCCTGGTGTTTGTGTTGCGTGGTTCGCCTGATGCCCTTAGAGGTGGACACTTTGAGGATGATTTCCAGATTTTCACTGTCATAGATACAGAATATCTATTTGCAGGCAATGGTGGGGATCTTTTCCTTCCTGGTGTTGGCTGCGCGAACTTCCACCGAACTCTTTAGGAGATGACATCCCGTAGGGATGTGGCCAGGGCCTAGCAGAAGAGGTCACTTGAATAGAATCACTTATCCAAGAAGGGTTGAGACAAGGAGATTGTTTTGGCTGCCAGGAGTCTTGATTCATATGTCATTACTTGTGCAGAACTAAAAGCTATCTGCGGTAATGGGTATTTGTAGAGCACTTTATGAGAGTTTACCAGGGGCCTTTCCTACGCTTTATTTTACTTAATTCTGACCATAGCTCTGTGAGCGTTATCCCGAGGAAACAGATTCAGACCTGTTAGGTGACAGACCCAGGCTCCCAGGCAGAGACATGGACCCTAGGCTGCAGACCCTGGATCCCATGTCTCACTTTCGCCATAGCCGTGATGCACGATGTCCTCTTGCCGGCAGAGTGGAGTACATGGAGAAGAGCAAGCATTTGCAGGAGCAGCTCAATGAGCTCAAGACTGAGATCGAGGCCCTGAAACTCAAAGAGAGGGAGACAGCCTTGGATATTCTGCACAACGAAAACTCCGACCGGGGTGGCACCAGCAGCAAGCACAATACCATCAAAAAGGTACCGAGTCTCCTGTCCTTCGCTGATCAGGACAGTCATTAATGAAATGTGAGGTTGGCATCTGGTTTCCTGAGTAGCCGAGTTGTTAGACTGTTAACATTTTTATGTGTACTCAGTTGAGGAAATGACTGTGAACCCACTGGCTTGATAGAAAGGGAGCCTGTGTTAAAAGCTCTGATGAAATGAATCACTGTTACGAGATGGGTTTTGATCCATCATTTAGCAGTAAAGCGATTCTGTCTTTTAAGCCAAGGGGAGTTCTGCCCAGGGAGCTGCCTTACTTCATGAGAAAGCAAAATGAAATGGAGGCTGTTGAGAATGGACTCTCCCTCTAGTCTTTTTGGGTTTTTAAGCGGCAAGGACTATAAAAAAAAAATTCTGTTCTTGCTTTAAAGAAACCCAAATTCTGAATTTTTAACGTTTTTTCATACTTACACGGAAGTGTCTAGAAGAACCTTAATGTTTTAAAAAGTGAGATTTCATTTATGTTGCTAGCAGTTTCAGATCGTTCTCTACTGATATTTTGAGCTTTCAGGATTTTAGAGAAGGTTATATCCCATATACGTGTCAGCCCAAGAGTGCAGTTCTCTCACGTCCGGCAAAGCAGAAATGGCCTGTCCCGCCAGTCATCTGCTCCTGACTGATAGCCCAGGGTCAGGCTCATACCTGTAAAAGAGGTGTCATTAAAATTAGACTGTTCATTGAGTTTTGATCATGATGGTTTAGATAGGTTTAATTTTTTATTCTTTACCTTAGTCTTTAAAGTGGTGTTCCAGGTTAAGGAGTATCTGTTCTTTTTTTTTTTTTTAAAGATTTTATTTATTTATT